TTCACTGTCATGCAGCCAACATCACCACTGCCCCCTAGTTACTATTCACTAGCATACAACCAACATCACCACTGCCCCCTTGTTACTATTCACTGTCATACAGCCAACATCACCACTGCCCCTTTGTAACTATTCACTAGCATACAACCAACATCACCACTGCCCCCTTGTTACTATTCACTAGCATACAACCAACATCACCACTGCCCCTTTGTAACTATTCACTAGCATACAACCAACATCACCACTGCCCCCTAGTTACTATTCACTAGCATACAACCAACATCCCCACTGCCCCTTTGTAACTATTCACTAGCATACAACCAACATCACCACTGCCCCTTTGTAACTAGTCACTGTCATACAGCCAACATCACCACTGCCCCTTTGTAACTAGTCACTGTCATACAGCCAACATCACCACTGTCCCTTTGTAACTAGTCACTAGCATACAACCAACATCACCACTGCCCCTTTGTAACTATTCACTGTCATGCAGCCAACATCACCACTGCCCCTTTGTTACTATTCACTAGCATACAACCAACATCACCACTGCCCCTTTGTAACAATTCACTGTCATGCTGCCAACATCACCACTGCCCCTTTGTAACAATTCACTGTCATGCAGCCAACATCACCACTGCCCCCTCGTTACTATTCACTAGCATACAACCAACATCACAACTGCCCCCTTGTCACTATTCACTGTCATACAGCCAACATCACCACTGTCCCCTTGTTACTATTCACTAGCATAGAACCAACATCACCACTGCCCCTTTGTAACTATTCACTGTCATACAGCCAACATCACCACTGCCCCCTTGTTACTAGTCACTAGCATACAACCAACATCACCACTGTCCCCTTGTTACTATTCACTGTCATACAGCCAACATCACCACTGCCCCTTTGTAACTATTCACTGTCATACAACCAACATCACCACTGCCCCTTTGTAACAATTCACTGTCATGCAGCCAAAATCACCACTGCCCCTTTGTAACAATTCACTATCATGCAGCCAACATCACCACTGCCCCCTTGTTACTATTCATTAGCATACAGCCAGCATCACCATTGCCCCTTGTTACTAGTCACAGTCATACAGCCAACATCGTCACTGCCCCTTTGTAACAATTCACTGTCATACAGCCAACATCACCACTGCCCCCTTGTTACTAGTCACTGTCATACAGCCAACATAACCACTGCCCCTTGTTACTAGTCACTGTCATACAGCCAACATCACCACTGCCCCCTTGTTACTAGTCACAGTCATACAGCCAACATCACCACTGCCCCTTGTTACTAGTCACTGTCATACAGCCAACATCACCACTGCCCCCTTGTTACTAGTCACTGTCATGCAGCCAACATCACCACTGTCCCCTTGTTACTAGTCACTGTCATACAGCCAACATCACCACTGCCCCCTTGTTACTAGTCACTGTCATACAGCCAACATCACCACTGCCCTTTTGTAACTAGTCACTGTCATACAGCCAACATCACCACTGTCCCCTTGTTACTAGTCACTGTCATACAGCCAACATCACCACTGCCCTTTTGTAACTAGTCACTGTCATACAGCCAACATCACCACTGCCCCATGTTACTATTCACTGTCATACAGCCAACATCACCACTGTCCCCTTGTTACTAGTCACTGTCATACAGCCAACATCATCACTGCCCTTTTGTAACTAGTCACTGTCATACAGCCAACATCACCACTGCCCTTTTGTAACTAGTCACTGTCATACAGCCAACATCACCACTGTCCCCTTGTTACTAGTCACTGTCATACAGCCAACATCACCACTGCCCCCTTGTTACTAGTCACCGTCATAAAGCCAACATCACCACTGCCCCTTTGTAACTAGTCACATCGTCACTGCCCCATTGTAACTATTCACATCGTCACTGCCCCCTTGTTACTATTCACTGTCATACAGCCAACATCACCACTGCCCTTTTGTAACTAGTCACTGTCATACAGCCAACATCACCACTGCCCTTTTGTAACTAGTCACTGTCATACAGCAAACATCACCACTGCCCTTTTGTAACTAGTCACTGTCATACAGCCAACATCACCACTGTCCCCTTGTTACTAGTCACAGTCATACAGCCAACATCACCACTGCCCTTTTGTAACTAGTCACTGTCATACAGCCAACATCACCACTGTCCCCTTGTTACTAGTCACTGTCATACAGCCAACATCACCACTGCCCCTTTGTAACTAGTCACATCGTCACTGCCCCATTGTAACTATTCACATCGTCACTGCCCCATTGTTACTATTCACATCGTCACTGCCCCCTTGTAACTATTCACATCGTCACTGCCCCATTGTTACTATTCACTGTCGTAAAGCCAAAATCGTCACTGCCCCTCTGTAACTAGTCACCGTCGTAAAGCCAATATCCTCTGCTTCACCTTCATCGCGATGTCATAACATAACAGATGTGGGGTAAAGGGGTTTTCACAAGCGCATGACGTTATCAGGTGTGATAGGCTTCATAGAACTACAGCACGGCCTTCACACTTTATGTAGGATAAAAACACCATTTAACGGTCGAAATATCATATATACGTATCTGAGTGTAACCAGACGCTACATCCCCTATGACCGGTACTCTCATTTCTCCAAGCCACTAGCGGTATGCGAACTGGCGTGAAATAGGATTTCATTGTTAGCGTCACTTGAACGTGACACCGTCCGAGAACCCCTGAAACGTAAGATGGCAGCGGGACGGAATTTAATTACGTCTGAAATGTTTTGATAACAGACTCATTCGACCGGAACAATATAGGCCGTTCTCCAACCTGTTTAGTTGCCCACGTGTGCAGGTAAAAACCGTGAGAATGGTGCTCCTAATACCAATATATATCCAGCTGGTGTGAAAAGCAAATTATTGAAGTGGCATGTCACAACAAACACCACATATGTAACAAGACGTGCGTGTTTGATATGTTTTCCACGTTTAGTTCACGTTGATACCAGACACCACTGCTCAACCTGGTGAATTGAAAAAGCTAAATTTCACTCATGTGAACATTAAACTTTACTCCTTAGAAAAAACACGATCTGGAGCTATGGTGTTTGTAATTCATCTGCATGCATATTCGGTACATTGACTTTTCGTGTAAAAGTAAACCTTTAAACTTTCAATGGCTTTCCTGAAGCATAAACACGTAATGGCACACTATTATGGTGGATGGTGGGCAGATATGCAACGGAGGTTGAGCCTTGAGTGTCTTTTGATGCTGTATATGTTAACCGAGTCCTACTTAATTCAGCATGGATTGAGCCTTTCATGAAACAAATGCCGATTAAGGGGGTACATTATATGTCTATACACCTACAAAGATGTAATTTTGTGGATAAATACCGAGAATTCATTGCTTAAGAGTCTCCTCGGGATGACTTGAACGCGTAGTAATACACTGGATCCGAACACGGTGAAGCGTATGCTTTGACATAACATGTGCTCTAGCCTGATAGCCGACATGAGGTGAGACTATAATAAACTGTCTGTCTGTCTGTCTGTCTGTCTGCCGACTTCTCTTTCCTAACGTGACAGACTGCTATGTAATAAAATTTTAAGATTATCATGTGTTATCCATGCACTGACATTATTAGTAAACGGATCACTGATTTTGCGTATTTATCGTTGCAAAGTAGAATAACACGTATTACGTAATAAGTTACATGTGTGAGTGAGTGAATTTGGTTAAACGCCGCTTTTAACAGTATTCCATTTATATGACGGCGTGCCAGCATGTAGGAGGAAACCCCGAAGTGATGCATATTATGATATTATCCTTTTACTCGGTTCCCCTCAAGCGAAACATGATCATGAAAGTAATTATCTCGTAAGAGGATTTACACGAAATAGAAAACTAATCTATAATAGAAAACTTATAATCTGTAATCTGTGGGATAATCTCTCACTTCGTATTCAACCAAAGGAAGTTATAAAGCTGGTGCTCTGTGCATAAATGGAATAAAACTGTGACGTATTTCGGTGATATGTTACTTTGATCTTCCAGCCTCTGGTCATGACTTCATCTAAATAGTGATAGTGTACAGTATTTAGCCGCTTAGACTAATTAATATATCCATCTATATCAAGGCGGGAGACAATTAACGAGTTTCAGCCATTGAGGAATTAAACCCGAGTTATCGGCGTAACAAACAACCAAACATGCCCCACCCACCCATTCATTCACACACACACACACACACACACACACACACACACACACACACACACACACACACACACACACACACACACACACACACACACACATGCACAGACGCACACGCACACACGGACACACGCACACACACACGCACACACACACGCACACACGCACACACACACGCACACACACACACACGCACACACACACAACGCTTACACGCACGCACACTAAGATCATTGTATTGAGCTTTGAAATATTACCAAAGGAAAAATCGCCCTTACATTGTTCTGAAGAAAAGGTTAACAGTTAAACTAAAATAACTGTATTGGACTTATCATGTGCGTGCGCGCGTGCGTGCGTGCGTGCGTGCGTGCGTGCGTGCGTGCGTGTGGCTGATTGTACTAGTCCGGACTTATTATAGTCCGATTTAGAGTGCTGGCCCACTGAGATACCATGCCGCAGTTTAACATGAATACCCCACTCAGACACAGTATACTGACTCCGAGACCTTGTTTTAGCCCCTTAATTTGATGTTTTGCAGAATGAAATGTCCGTCTACCTTGTAATGTGAAATACATGCAAATCTACTCACACATAAGGTCGGACATTTGCTGAGACATCGATCACCTTAAGTGTACAATGTTTACTGGCTTTGCTCGGCTCGGCTACACATGACACAGCATCGAGCATCAAGCCAAACGCTGTCCTTATACCGCATACATAGCCCGTGTTTTTACATAATTATATATCTGTTTCATGATGACATATAGCCTTACCTGTACCCAGTCTCCTCGCTCAACGCTGTAATCAGTACACCACTGAGGTAGAGTGCCCAACGCACCGGGAGCTGTTACCAGACAGTCGTTGCTGGTGATGTGTGATACAGCTACAGTCGGCACCAGAAGCACAGCGTTACAGAACTGTATTGACAATGTACCTAGTAGTACCATCCAGCACGTGCCACCTCGGTGGGTATATCTACGTTATGTACACAACATCCGGGTACTCTATGGACGCGCGTCTAGACAAACAGTTCTAACGTCTTCTGATTTTGAAATATTTGGAACTCCTGCACCGGCTGCACTGATGATTGCTTTCACTTGCTTGATAACGGTTTTGTAATAATTTGTAAGAAAGACGTTGCTCATCCATATATCTTATCCTTACTCCATCTTCTAAATGCCTCTTAAAGACGTTAACGTTTTTTGTTCACTCCCTTCGGGTGGTGGTCGGTAAAAACGTATCCTCTGATATGAGACACACACATCCTTGAAATCCAATCAGTTCAATATGTATACGATGTTTCAGAACAAAATGAATACCGGTTTCTGTTAAAAGTCGTTACAAATGCTTCACCAATAAACTAATTATATCTATATCAGTATTAAACATCTTCACATTTATTTCCTCTGACACGTAAGAGGTTAGGTCTGGAATATGTTGACGATGTTTCAGAACACACTAAGTACCGATATCTGGTACAATGGTTAACGTTCAACACAAAACACGTCTTCGCAAATCCTTAAACTCGTATCAGTCTGTGTAAGGTTCAACAGTTCAACAACAATGTCAGCGAATCAGTCGTTGACTATTGTAACTACAACGTATGGCCACAATGACATACAGATATATCACCAGGTCTGGCCCTTATACAAGTGTCTGTATGCAATCCTGTTCACCCATGATAACAACGTCAGTAAACAATCTCCTTGCACCCGTAATGCCAGTGTTGACAGATGAGAGACCAGTGCCACCCTGGGTTTCTTTGCCGGGTAGCATGGATCGACCTAGTGTCAAATCCCTTCAGGGTGAAGTGCAGTGAATCAGTAGCATGTAATCCTTATGTCAACCCTTCTTGACACCAGTGACTTTGTATCGACAATAATTATAACATGTTCCACGGTCGACTACGTCCATTCATACAATACTGTGTCGTCACGAAGCCAGGTCGATTTGCCGGGTATTGCCGTTCACGACACTGTTGTTGCTAACTCACCTGGAAACACAACTCCAATGCTGCAACAGTAACAACCACTGACGCAGATGTTCTCACGACTGTGCACATTCAACACTACTGTTTTTACGACCATCATTCTTAAATAACATCATAAAATCTGATACAAGCATGGCTGTGACTCACTCCTGAAATACCCATATTTAAATGTACAGTCAAAGTAATTTTATCTACCCACGTATGTACTATGGGTCACGGTAATCTATTGTCATAAACAAATTCATTTCCTACGTAGTTCCTTTGTTTACGTCATACGCTGATAAGCAGCCTACATATTCAGTTGGAATTCCCAGTGAACAACCTGTCAGCAATGCTCAAGTAATGAGCGATCATGGTACATTCCTTTCAACACAAGTAAATCGACAGATCCAATTTAGATCTATTGATCCTGCAGAGTCACATGTTTTTCGTTTAAACATGGGCGGAACTTAAGTATACCCCGTTGCATTAGATTATTTAAACGCGGTCTTTTGCAGTATCAGGTAGAAAATAATTACTGGGCATTTTTTCCAGAGTTGAATATTCGTAGTTGTACACGCGCGTGTTGGATTACTCGCCGTCTGAGACGTGGAAGTGATCGGCCATCGACGGCGTTTATCAATACCGTCAAGATATAGTGTGCAGGGTCAGCAGAGGTCAATAATGTTAAGATGAAGTCGTCAATATGATTGGTTCTACCTGGTGGTTGCTGTACAGGTGAAACAGATACCTGCTTGGTATGTGAGGTATGCGGGGACGCGAACAGGCAACGTTGTGAGACTATATGTCCTGTGCGTTACCTGGAGATACCTTGGCGCTTGAAGAACGCTTAATCATTTGAAGGTTTTTCAACCTCATTTGAGATTGACGTGGAAATTAGTTTACCCACTAATGACATTTGGTGATGTCACCGTGACCCTGGGTTAGCATAGGTGTGGAGTGATGGTGGTTTCTGGTCGTGCTGATTGGGAGAGCAGATCAGTCAATCGGGGTATATAGTAGAGATTGTAGCTCTATATTGACAGTACAGCAACATTTCGTCGCTGAAGAAGTGAACCATTTGAAGACCCATGTCACAATGTTGCCCATTTGATTAAGGAATAATTGTTACTGATCAAGTAGAGAATCATAGGAACTAGCACAAACTACAACCTGTGTCGACATACAGTTCAGTGTAGGATGGGGACATCTAGGTTTAGAGTGTTACCTGTGTCGACATTCAACTCAGTGTAGGATGGGACGTCTAGCTATAGAGTGCTACCTTTATCAGCTCAGTGTAGAATGGGGACATCTAGCTATAGAGTACCACCTGTTTCAGTTCAGTGTAGGCTCGAACATCTAGCTATAGAGTACCACCTGTGTCAGTTCAGTGTAGGATGGAACATCTACCTGTTTCAGCTCAGTGTAGGATGGGACATCTAGCTTTAGATTGCTACCTCTGTCGACATACAGCTCAGTCTGGGGTGGGAACGTCTAGCTATAGGGTACTACAGGTGTCAGCGCAGTGTTGGGTGGTGCTACCTGCGTCGACATACAGCTCAGGATGGGACATCTATCTATAGGATACTACCTGTGTCAGCTCAGTGTGGGATGGGGTCATCTAGCTATAGGGTACGACCTATGTCCGTTCAGTGTTGGGTGGGACATCCAGATATAGGGTGCTACCTGTGTCAGCTAAGTGTAGGATGATACATCTAGCTATAGGGTACTACCTATGTTAGCTCAGTGTAGAGTGGGACATCCAGCTACAGAGTTCTACCTGTGTCGACATACAGCTTAGTGTAGGATGAGACATCTAGCTATAGGGTACTACCTATGTCAGCTCAGTGTGGGATCGGGACATCTAGCTACAGAGTACTACCTGTGTCAGCTCAGTGTAGGATGGGACATCCAGCTATAGAGTACTACCTGTGTCGACATACAGCTCAGTGTATGATGATACATCTAGCTATAGGGTACTACCTGTGTCAGCTCAGTTTAGGGTGGGACATCCAGCTATAGAGTACTACCTGTGTCAGCTCAGTGTAGGATGGGACATCTAGCTATAGAGTACTACCTGTGTTAGCTCAGTGTAGAGTCAGACATCCAGCTACAGAGTACTACCTGTGTCAGCTCAGTGTAGGATGGGACATCTAGCTATAAAGTACTACCTGTGTTAGCTCAGTGTGGGATCGGGACATCTAGCTATAGAGTACTACCTGTGTTAGCTAAGTGTAGAGTCAGACATCCAGCTATAGGGTATTACCTGTGTCAGCTCAGTGTAGGGCGGGACGCCTAGCTATAGAGTACTACCTGTGTTAGCTCAGTGTAGAGTCGGACAACCAGCTATAGAGTACCACCTGTGTCAGCTCAATGTAGAGTGGGACATCCAGCTATAGGGTACTACCTGTGTCAGCTCAGTGTAGGATGGGACATCTAGCTATAGGGTACGACCTGTGTCAGTTCAGTGTAGGGCGGGACGCCTAGCTATAGAGTACTACCTGTGTCAGCTCAGTGTAGAGTCGGACATCCAGCTATAGAGTACTATCTGTGTCAGCTCAGTGTAGGATGGGACATCTAGCTATAGGGTACTACCTGTGTCAGTTCAGTGTAGGGTGGGACGCCTAGCTAGAGGATACTACCTGTGTCGACATACAGCTCAGTGTAGGATGGGACATCTAGCTTTAGGGTACTACCTGTGTCAGTTCAGTGTAGGGCGGGACGCCTAGCTATAGGGTATGACCTGTGTCAGCTCAGTGTAGAGTCGGACATCTAGCTATAGAGTACTACCTGTGTCAGCTCAGTGTAGAATGGGACATCTAGCTATAGGGTACGACCTGTGTCAGCTCAGTGTAGAGTGGGACATCCAGCTATAGAGTTCTACCTGTGTCGACATACAGCTCATATCTATCTATCTATCTATCTATCTAGCGTTAGGTTGCTACCTCTGTCGACATACAGCTCAGTGTTGGCTGGAACATCTAGCTATAGAGTACCACCTGTGTCAGTTCAGTGCAGGCTGGAACATCTACCTGTGTCAGCTCAGTGTAGGGTGGGACGTCTAGCTATAGGGTACTACAAATGTGTCGACATACAGCTCAGGATGGGACATCTAGCTATAGGGTACTACCTATGTCAGTTCAATGTAGGGTGGGACATCTAGCTATAGGGTGCAACCTGTGTCGACATACATCTCGGTGTAGGGTGGGGACATCTACCTATAGGGTCCTACCTATGTCAGTTCAATGTAGGGTGGGACGTCTAGCTATAGGGTGCAACCTGTGTCGACATACATCTCGGTGCAGGGCGGGGACATCTAGCTATAGGGTGCTACCTGTGTCAGTTCAGTGTAGGCTGGAATATCTAGCTATAGAGTACTACCTGTGTCAGCTCCGTGTAGGGTGGGACATCTAGCTAAAGGGTGCTACCTGTGTCGATCTATAGCTCAGTGTAGGATCGGACATCTAGCTAGAAGGATGTATAACATCTCTGTCTGCACACCATCGAGTCCTGAAGGAAACACCTAGCTGTATGGTATTGCGAACGCCTTTTCCTACTTGGTGATCAATCATACATAATCCCAGCTTGTCATTCGTTTATCTACAAGGAAATACAGCATTAGGAGCAATGAATGCTATTTGTTACGATGATAATATTTCAGGCAAACGTCATATTGGTACATATATCACACAATAAGTAATGTCCAAGTAATCATCATTAATGTATTCATATATTGAACAGCCAAACATATATATTGCCACATATTGTCAGTGTCATTATAAAACTGTCCTGAGATAAGATTATGTCCCATCTTTTAGCTGAGCTGTAAACCCATAATTGACTGTATTCATCAAGCAACGTCGCACACCATTACAGTAATAAATGTCATAAAAATGTTGTTACTACACATTGGGATACCGGAATGTTATTGAAATAATTTTGTGTCTTTGTCATAACTGAATGTATCAGTTGGATATTCCTGCTACGCGTTTCGTTAATATGTGATATAATTATATGATATAATATGTGTATAGAATTATTTTTGGAATGTTCATAAGATTCGCCTTTCATATATTCAAGTTTATGATGTCATGCAAGGTTTATTTCGTACGTACCTTTTATAATAATGAGTTTAATAAAAAAAGTATTTCAAAGAAAATACATGTACATAGGAGTTATAGGATAGTTAATTATTAAGCAAAAAACGTAATGAGTTCCGATAATTTCATATCCATTTATTTTTTCATACTTTTGTTAACTATGTAGGCGTTTTCTGTGCTTGCAAACCGAGATTAAGAAACATCATACAGAAAGTTATGCATGACTTCCTTTATAGCAATTTCACATTTAGTTTTCTTTACGTTTGCTGCGGTGATTTTATAAATTTAATAAAAGGGTCATATCACTGGGGAATGTTACGCCATGTCATGTCTAAAGATCTGAAAATGAAAATGAAGCTGCCTCATATGTAGATATGGGTGGCCCAGCGTCATTGCCATTGTGGCCATATGAAAATTGTCATATTACCGTCCAGGATAACGAGGTATCATTTTACACATTAATGGCAATGGTTCGTCTCAGTCAACTTTCTCATTTAACAATCAAGTGGATCAAGTCATGTAAATGGAGTCAGGTGGATTAACTCAGGTAAGTTAGGACTTGTAACACAGCAGCTGTAGAGGGTCTATCAGGTTTTGCCATCTATCATGGGTGATCGACTACCGGAGCCAGCTGTGGAGGTAGCATCCGCATCGCCGGCAGTTAGTATAGGACAATGGTGGGGCCAGGGCTTGATGGCCCGCCATGAGCTGAGTACAGGTTATATGTTATGTACATTAACTATTCAGGTCAAGGCCAACAGAAATATAAGCTACGTTACTATTGTTTTAGTTAGTGTCGATATGACCTATTCGTGACGAAGCCCATCAGCTGAATTCCTATAACAAGGAAGTATATATTGGATAGGAGTAAGAGATTTGGCTGAGTAAATAACAAAATAAAGAAAATGGGGTAGTTGAAATGTCATTAGATTTTTTTGTTTAGCAGCCTTGTAATGTCCGT